TAAAAAATTTGACTGGTAAAAAACGGGGTCCCTTGGGAAAAAGGTTGGGAACCACTGAGGTATTGCACATGTACTGAATGTAGCGCTGATGCTATTGTGTAGCTGGATAATGCCAGTACCAGCTAAACTGAGGAGTTATGCACTCTTACTGCAGAGGGAATGAATGACCTATGGAAGCGTTCTGTCTGACATCTTTGGTGTCTCAATCTACCGCTGAAGGAGCTGTCCATGGCCTCCACAGTGAAAGGGAATGGAGGTCATCTTCACCACTATCCTCCTTTCACACGCGTCCTCAACAGAATCCAGTGGGCAGCCCAGAACTGAGCTAGCTTTCTTAATTAGCTTGTTCAGTCTCTTCCTGTCTCAGTCAGAGTCGCCTGTAGCCCAACAGAGCCAGAGAATAACAGAGCCAACCATGGACGTAATTTTTACTTTAGAAGTGGGGGGGACAAGGGGGTGGGGGGGGGGGGGGGGATTATCTTTACAGTATGCTCTAATGGGAAACAGGCTTTAACACAAACGGTTGTTTCCGCATGGTTCTAGAGCTCAACCAGTGTCAAATTAATATAGCGTAATATTGTTTTTGGATGGTAAATAGTTCAGGGGTCAAAACTTGACTTTGGAAAAAGGGGGGGGGGACATGTCCCCCCTGTCCCCCCCAAAAATTACGTCCATGGAGCCAACAACAGGGTGATTAAAAAAGTTTAGCCGATGGAAATTACTTCAGAAGGACCACAGCCTCCTTAGGAGGTGGAGGCAGCTTTGGCTCTTATACAGATCATCTGTATTGTGGGACCAGTTCGGTTTACTATTGAAGTGAACTCAGAAGAACATCCCTGTTCGACAAATCGCACCTGTTCACTCAAGGACTCGACGGTAACACCAACGATGCTCAGGCGGATTCTATCCTCTCTAATCCAAGCGAAGAGCGGCAAGCGCGTCCACAGGCAGCCCCTGCTAATCAATGCTAGATAGATAATGGGAGGAAAGAAGAAAGCCTCGTTCTCCCAGATGGAGCTAGAATTATTCATTCCTGCCTACGAGGACTACAAAAACATCATAACTAAAATCGAGCCCACCATCTGCTTGATGAGTACAAAAGCTGTTGGCACAGCTGTGGCTCGGGAGGCAGAGCAGGTTGTCCAGTAATAGGAAGGTTGCAGGTTCGATCCCAGCTCCCACCAGAGGAAGCTACTGTTGTGTCCTTGGGCACAACACTTATAAAGCAAGTCACACCAAAATCAACTTATTTTTTCTGATGACCTTTATAAATGAGTGAATAATAGTGGTTTAGGCATGTCTAGTCATTATTTTTGAATTTTGGTGCATTTTCTTTAAAAACTCAAAATTCTGCCTAAAAACACCAGTCTAGCGCCCCCTTCTGCTCAAAACTATGCAACACGTTTGATTTGAGTTGGTTTGAATCTGCGTTAGCCAATGGCTAACGAGAATAATGATGCATAGCCAAGAAAATTACTACGTAGCAGTGCTGTGACTGTAGGTTTTAAAGCTTTGGGGTCTCAGCCACGCCTTATATCACATTTATTCAATTATGATTACTTTGGTGCACGTTTAATGTGATATGAACTAGCACCTCACTGTTAGCTCATTTTAAATTCAAGCGTGTTTTTACATATATTTATGGACATCAACCAAAACAGGAAATGTATAAATTGAGATCTGTTTAATTAATAAAACAAATATTAATAAGTGAAGTCCGGAGAATGGAGGAATCATACAAAGGCACATCTTTCCGGACGCTCCTGATCCTGATGACGGCACAAGCTGCTGGCACCAGAGGATCACCTACGACCAAGAGAACAGCTGGTATCAGTAAATAAATAATGAAATCAGGGCAGTTTTAGTGGGATGTTTGTGATTGTGTAACATAAATGTGCACACCACAGAATGACTTTCTCATTTGGTATTTACATTTATAACCAGAGCACTAGACTGGAAGTAGCTCCCATGACACTTATTAAGGACTTTGTGGTGTGTGTGTTCGTGTGTGTTTGTCTGTCTCAAGTGTTCAGTGCGGTGCTGCAGGGCAGTCTCTTTGGCGTGGTCGGCCTGCTTCCTCCTCGGTACAGCACTCTGTTCATGAGCGGCCAGGGTCTGGCTGGGATGTTTGCAGCCATCGCCAGGCTCTGCTCCATCCTAAGTAAGCAACGAATGCCTGACTCTAAATGTGCTGACAGGGCTCCAAAAGTTCCTAACTAGTTACAAACAAATGACTGTACTAACGACAGAAACATAATTAATCTCTAAGGCCAAACTATTTAAATGACAATAATAATAACTGAGTTTTATCAGTGAAGCAGCGATCTGGGAAATAACTGATAAAACTCAAATATTATTATTGTCAATTAAATAGTTTGAAAGATCCTCCTCATTTTCTTGTTTAAATTAAGCAAACAAATGTAAAAAAAAATGTCAATCTGCTGTCATGGTCTGCGTCGGCCCCCTCCTTTTTTGTGCCTCCTGGTGTCCTCCATCCCTCTCTAGATTCCCTTTTGTGTCTCATAGCGCCCTCATGTGTCCTTGTCTTCTCAGTCTTTGTGTCTTATGTGGTACCGGTACAATTATTCCTCCCAGGTCCCGTGTCATCTCATTCCTCCCCAGCCCTTCCAGGTCTTCATTTTCTGTGTCCTTGTAGTCCCCAGCCTCTCAGTCCCCGGTGTGTGTGTGTGTGTGTGTGTGTTCATTTCCCAGTTCTGTTTATAGGTGTCAGAGTTTATGTGTGTGGGTATTATATCCTCCTCCAGATAGTTTGTGTGAGCCTTTCCCTCAGTCTTTAGGGTTAAATATTGTATTTTAGGGTTATCTGCCATTCTCTGTTCTGTTTCCCCATTTAGATTATTATCGTCACCTGCCTTCCCTCCAGCAGCTCACTCCGCACACCTGCTGCCTGTTTTCTTGATTGCCTCTCCCAGTCTATTTAAGCCCTGCCTTGTCTTTGTCGGTCCATTAATGTTGTTTGTAGTTCTGTCAGTTTCGTCCTTCTGTGTTTATTCCAGAGTTTTTGATCCCCAGATATTTATCTGGTTTTTGGATTTTTGGCTTCCAGCTTAGAGATACTTGGTTTTTGGCTCACCTAAAAATAAAGAACTTTTACTTAATCATCATCCTTGCCTCGTGTCATCCTGGGTACTGCATCTTGGGTCCTCACCACCGCCACATGACATCTGCATCAACAACCTTCCAAGAGACAAAGTTCAAGACGATCTAGAAATGTAACTGAAGACAACACAAACAGTCTGAGGGCTGAGCCACATTTTGGACAAAGCACCATAAATAGCGTTGATTTAAAACCTTTAGTTTGCTCTGTAGTGTGACTCTGGAGCTCCCCGTGTAGAAGGCTGGGTGAAAGCAGCGGAGTGTCAGACTGCAGGGGTGTTTCTCAATGTCAAGGTGCCGGGCCTCGCAAGGCGATGTCTTGCTGGGCCATGCACCCTTCTTACAAGGACACTTGTAACATGTAAGTAAGTAAGTAAAAGTTTATTTATATAGCGCCTTTCACAGATATAAATCACAAAGCGCTGTACAACATGATAAAGATCAGGGCAAATACCTCTAACCAATAAAAACATCCGAAAAACAATAGCAGTGATAAAGTAGAAAAAAATCATGAGTATAAACAAAGTGAAGGTGTGAACCCGAACAAAGCCATCATTCTGAAACATTTAGGGAGGGAACGCCTGGATGAAAAGTTGAGTTTTTAGATGATTTTTAAAGACCTCTACAGTGTTAGAGAGACGGAGATTTGAAGGTAGACTGTTCCAAAGTCTGGGTGCAATAGTCTGAAAGGCCCTGTCCCCTTTGGTTTTCAGTCTGGTTCGAGGAACAGCCAGGAGGTTTTCAGATGTGGATCTAAGGTTCCGAGAGGTGGTGTGTGGGGATAAAAGCTCAGATCGGTAGCTTGGAGCCTGGTTGTTAAGAGCTCTGTAGGTCAGGACTAAAACTTTAAACTGGATTCTATAATCTACCGGGAGCCAGTGGAGGGACTGTAAACCTGGAGTGATGTGAGCTCGTCTGCTGGATTTGGTTAGGAGTCTGGCTGCTGCATTTTGGATGGCTTGAAGGCGTGAGAGGGAGGTTTTGCTGAGACCAGTAAAAAGAGCGTTACAGTAGTCTAAGCGTGATGACACAAAGGCATGGATGATTTTTTTCCAGATCTGCAGTAGAAACCAGTTTACGGACTTTTGAAATGTTTCTCAGTTGAAAGAAACAATAGCGGGAGATGGTTTTGACGTGTGAGTCTAAACTTAAAGCTGGATCAAAAATAACTCCTAGGTTTCTAATGTTGGCCTTGGCTGATGGGCAAAAAGAGGCAATTTCTTGCTCGATTTTTGGCTGAAGTTCCGGGGGTGCGGCGATCAGGGTCTCTGTCTTGTTAGCATTGAGGACAAGAAAGTTGCTGGACAGCCAGTTACTGATCTGGGTCACGTGACACAAGAGGTAACATTATATTTTATACGTCAATATACTTAATTTAAACACTTTTGGATGTTCAATATAAATGTGAAACAAGCCTTTTACTTTTTTATTGTGTATATTGGTTAAACTAAATATGTAAGCGAGTTACTACCTGGTGGCCACCAAAGCTGCGACTCTTAAGCAACTAACCAACCATAGAGAACTACTGTGGATAAACAGAAAAAACATTTTAGATATCAGCCCGATAGCTACAATTAGTTGACTTACATTTAAAATTGAAATTTGCTTCCAAAGTAGCCGGCTCCTGATCCGCCATCCTTTTGAAAATACCGCAGTGTATTCTGGGAAATGTTTGACTAAGACCAGGCTACAAGGCACCTCCCGTGTATCCTTGCTCAGCTAGCTAAATGGCTAACTGTCAGGGACCGAGCAGTAAAACTCCAGGACACTGGTATAAAAAGAATATCTTCTCCATTTATTTCAAAAATTATTTACCAAAATCAAAACAAAAATGGGCCCAAAGGAAAAAATGGCCACAAAAATAACCTTAACTAAAAGTAGCAAGCAAGACTCTCAAAACTGAGACACACAGGGGAATTTATACACACAGGCTAGCCTACGGACAACGAGGAGGGGAGAGACAGGGGAAACACTAAGACAAACAGTAAATAAACCTAGGAAACTAAGTCAACAAAGTATAACTACCACAAAAAAAGTTTAACTAATACATCCTAACAAAATCTGGTAAACTCGATAGAGCTTCAGAACGTCTGGTTTCTGGTTTCTTCATTATCACGCTCCCTGCTTCCAGGAGCCAGATGGAATGTTCCACTTCCTGCATGGAGTTACACTGGGCGTGTCCTCTCTCTGCCAGTTCATCCAATCTCAGAATACAAATGAAAATAGTTAATGATCAAAAAAACTATGTGTAAGATAAATTACTAAATGTGTGCACCCATTAGTAAACATCTTACAATATTGCAACAAAATGAAATAATAAACCAGCGTGTGGAAAAAAATATTTAAATAATACTAACACTGAGAAATGGCTGGAGGAACCTCCACACTAACAAACAAACAGATGCTTCAGTAGAACACGAACATTGGAACACGCCTTGGTGGTTCCTGATGACATATCTCCTAGGCAACTGGGGGTGGGACCAAGACATCAAGGCGAGGCTCCTTGGCGTTGAGAAACACCCCAGGAATCCAGAGCAGATGGGTCATGTAAGCATGCATCAGAGCTGGAATGTTTGTCTGCAGGTGAACCTGACAGAAAGTCAGCTGCATTGGGATACTTCATCACTCCATGTGTGGCCACACTGGTGACTCTGTTCTGCTATCTGCTGCTACCGCACCTGGTGAGTAGAGCGCAGGTGGCATGAAGCCAGCAGAGTACAGCTCTAGTATCTGAGAGTTTCATTTTCTTAGCTTAATGATAACGATTCCTCGGACCCTGTCTTGCAGGAGTTTGCCCGTTTTTACTTGAGCAGAAGTCAGCCTGCTAACGCAGACGCATCCCATGATCTCCTTGGCAGTGCAGGTCAGGCCTCCGTCAGCTTTCCGCTGGTGAAGATTTGAGTGGTCTCTTACTTTTTTGTTGTTCTTTTGAAGGTGAAAAGGCCCTAAATGGTAAAAAGAAAGACCTGGAGCCAATCGATAAGATCAGCGGTGACCTAGACGAGAGTCAGGAATGCTCTTCTGTCCTGGCTGTCTTTAAAAAGGTAAACAAGGTCTACTTTCTCCAGCGGGCGGATCGGATTTAACATTCATCATCAAACGCCTTGTTGCGTCTGTCCGTTAGCGTCTTTCTTCAACTGATCTCAGCTCAGCCATTCATGTGTTTCCCGTGTGTCAGATCTGGCTGATGGCTGCGTGTGTGACGTGTGTGTTTGCTGTCACGCTCTCGGTCTTTCCCGTCATCACAGCCAAGGTGAAAACAGTCTACGAAGAGAAGGCTGACTGGGGTGAGACATCTATATGTCCTCATGCTGGACAGGAAGCAGACGAGTCAGACAGAAGCATGACTCTTGTCTTATTTAAGGATTTCTTTCCTAAATTCACACGTTGTTTCTGTTTTTCTGTATTTGTTTTGTAGACAAAGTGTTCTCATGTGTGTGCTGCTTTGTTGTTTTTAACGTCATGGACTTCATCGGTCGCAGCGCTCCGTCTCTCATCCAGTGGGTGAGTCGGCTCCTTCAGGATGAGGAAAAATGACAGATTATTTCTGGTTCTGAGACACTTTGCTTGTTTTTGCAGCCATCCAAAGACAGCCGCCTGCTTCCTGCTGCCGTGCTGTCCCGCGTTGTCTTCATCCCTCTGTTCTTGATGTGTAACATCCCGGACTCCAAGCTCACCCCTCTCCTCAGACCTGACTGGTGCTTCGTGATCACCATGGCTCTGTTTTCCTTCTCTAATGGGTACCTGGCAAGCCTGTGCATGGCCTACGCTCCACAGTGAGTCCTCAGCAGGAAGTGCTGCAACATCTCATATCAGAGGTGGAAAGAGTACTAAAATTTCCTACTTAAGTACGAGTACCAATACTTTGATAATTTTTTACTCAATTACAAGTAAAAGTACTTGCCTAAATTTTTACTCAAGTACAAGTAAAAGTACTTGCCTAAATTTTTACTCAAGTAAAAGTAAAAAGTATCGTAAACAAAATGTACTCAAAGTAAAAGTTACTTAGTTACATTTTTGTCAGCGTAAGGATGGCTACATCTAAGTAGTGCTAAATCACAACGCCAGTTCACCATTCACTCGTGTGTGTGTGTGCGCGCGCACACACACACACACACACACACACACACACACACACACACACACACACACACACACACACACACACACACACACACACACACACACACTCAAACACGCACAGCTTGAAGGAGGGATTTCTATCCAATCAGTGAGAACAGGACGTGCACATTGTTTGGACGAGGTTTTTCTAGGATGGTAAGTCTCAATTGTGATTCAAATTATTCTTTATTTTGAGAAAAAATAACTTTTTTAGATGCCATCAGCGTGTGAGGTATCTCGATGTTCTCATGACAAAACTCTAACATGAGACTGTGCTCTAACCTGTCACATAACAAGCCAAATGCAGTCAAACATTTCAGATCACCAGCTCAGTGGCCTAGTGGTAGAGTGTCCGCCCTGAGACTGGGAGATCAGGGTTCGATTCCTGGTCGGGTCATACCCAATGTCTCCCTGCTTGACACTCAGCATTAAGGGGTTGGATTGGGGGGTTAAACCACCAAATGGTTCCCGAGCGCGGCTGTGTCTGCAGCTCACTGCTCCCCCAGGGGATGGGTCAAATGCGGAGAACAAATTTCGCACACACATCAGTGTGTGTGACAACTAATGGGACTTTAACTTTAACTTTAGATGGACCGTATGACAGCTGCTAATGTTGGCCCTGCCCTACTTTACCTCTACATTACAGTTCCCTTTATCCATGCCCATCCTAGACCTCCTCTCTGACCTTCATGCTTATTTAGATCAGCTGATTTTTAGAGTTCATCCTTGGTGGTGGGTTCACTCACTCATTTAACCCTTCACCACTGAAATCAGTTTGTTCATCCCAATCTTCCTAAATAATCCTCCAATCATCCAGCTGGAATCCTTAAGGGTCCCGTAACGTTCATCCTGTCAGAACAGGCCGTGGAAGCCCAGGTGTTACTAGAACTAACGGTGTCTCCTCACCAGCGTGAGCCTCCACACTGTGAAGGTTAGTCTCCAAACATGAACTTTAAATTCATGCGTTTATCTCCTCTTGTAACACTTTAACATGTTTTAAAAGGCTTGTATCATGATATGTTGCACCTCCCAGACCAAAGATAGGTCCAATATAAGATAAAACATTATCGTAGACACTATTAAGACGTCATTATTTATGAAATATAAGTTATTTTCCTGAGCCATTACTGCAGCCAAGATATAGGATGCATGGATTTGATGAAACCATGTTGTCTCATGCAGTCCTATATGTGTAACACACACACATGCACGCACGCACATACACACGCAAGCGCGCGCGCACGCACACACACTGCAGCATGTTAGAATCATTTGAATGACTAATTTAACTACACTGAACTGCTTTTGTAATCATTTAATCTCGTATTCTGGAGTAAAATAAAGAAACAAGCTAAATCATCACATATCTGTGGCATCAAGAAGCAACTTCTGAGTTCAGACACAGGGATGGAGCACAATGTTTACACCTGAACAGTATCAGCATGTTTTAACTCACAGAGGCCTGCAGGTCTTCTGTTTTATGAGCAAAGCGCTGATAATCCGCTTGTTATGGGCGCTAAACGTTATTTTGCCGCTGCCGTGCGGCGCGGTAGGGGAACGCAATTCAAACACGGAACCGAGTCCGGCTACCGAGCAAGCAGAATTCTGATGACGTCACACCGGTGCAAGAAGGTGCGGGTTCCAACCCACAGGAGAAGAAGGAGAGAGGAGGTAAACAGCGAGTGGATCGACTGAACTGATGTCTTTGAGCAAAAGTGTACCCCCCCCCCCACGGTTTAGACGCGGTGCTCATGCAGGTGTCTCTTTCCGTTCCGACGCTGCTACACGCAATATTTTTAATTTATTAAGCCTACAATTTATTTTTACTCAGTAACGGATATGATTTAAAATGTAGCGAATTACAAATCTTTTTTAAAAACTTACTCAAGTAAAAGTGAAAGTACAGCTTTTAAAAATGACTTAAAAAGTATAAATATACAAAAAAGCTACTCAATTACAGTAACGTGAGTAAATGTAATTCGTTACTTTCCACCTCTGTCTCATAGTGCTTAGAGCTCTGGGATGGCAACAGGAAGCTCTGGTCCTAAAAAGGCAAAATGGACACACGTAGATCCGGACAATATTTAAATAATGATACATTTAAATCGATAGACGTTTGGTGCAATAGAAAACAATGCTTAGATAAAAACTTTTATTAAAACGTTTTTCTTTTTTTCATTATAGCCTATCAGGTAGCAACCTGTCTGTGTGGTCAGCCATTTTAACATTTAATCAACAATCACACCTTTTTGTAGCCTAATTCTCACCGTAGATAGCAGCAATATAATAGATCCTAGTGCAAATATTGTTCTTACTAGTTGTCATAGAAATGAAAGGTGTCAACAGCTATTTTCTTACTAATTAAATATTTTTTTTTATATATTAACAGATGCAGAAGTAGGAACTATGTTTACGTCCCTAATAGGAAGTCGTTTTATCTTTTATTAGGCAGACATTTACTATGAATCTATTTACCATTAAGATGAGCTGCAGGTTAAAGTTAACGTTTTAGGATGATTTAAAAGAAAAGCGTCCCAAAAGCTTTGGTTTTCATCGCCATGAAAAGATAAATGAAACGACCCTGAAGTTAGTTTTGGGTGGTAAATATGACCGATGTTCATCCTAGTTGCTGATGTTTCACCAGGTTGTGACACTGATGCAGCAGGTCTGACCATATGTTGGTGTTGCTGCTGATCACAGCTGGTCAATTAGTAACAGACTACAGAAAATAAATCAACAGCTTTAAATTTATATAACTTAATCGCCCCACAATTGTTCTATTATACACATTATTTCCATTATTATTAGTGTTTTTAATGACAATTTGTGGATTTTTTAAATCCTCCACATCGTGTAACTTAGTCATATTTTATTTTGATATTTTATTTGTTGGGTGTTCTCTCTCTCTATTGTGAAAAGGTTCCAGAGAGGTTGTGGTACTTCCAACATTATGTATTGAAAGACCAAGTTCACTTGTTGCTCATTTTTCCAACACATCTGCAGTGGTCTCTATACTATATGCCTCATCAGTATTGAATGCCGGGTAAGTGGTTCTCTGTGGGGAAAAAGCTCTAGTGCTCCTGTTTCAGGAACCAGAAGTTAGTTGGAGGAGAGGGGAGCAGAAAGGAGCAGGATTTGGAGTCTTACTCGGTATTATTTCCTGATATTCGGACATCTTGCCTCTGATCAGCTGGTTTCTGACCCCGGCTTTCCACTGGAGCCGTCAGCAGCACGTCATAGCTGCTGATAGGAACCGCTGTGGTCAACAGAACCTTTTCCACCGGAGCCGTCAGCAGCGCGAGTCGGCCGCGTCTCAGGAGCAGCATGTCGCGGTCTTTACGCGCCGGTTCTATTTTCTACGCGTGACGCCTCTGAAACGGGTCAAGTTCAACATTTTTGGGGAAGGAAAGACAGGAAATCGGACGCGGAAATGGAGAGAAGCTCCCGAGATTTTCAGAATAAAGAAACGTACTGCCTTCCGGTTGCTTTACTTTTAAAAAAGGTTACTAAACGTGCGGCCCCGTGAGAATTATCACCTAGCTAGCGGTCTCCTTTGTTTTTCAGGTCCGTATTGGCGATTATAAAACGGACAGAACATAAAACACAAACCTTTTGGAGCCATGTTGTAGTTTTCTCCTGCTTGTTGTTGTGTTTACTGACGAAGTCACTCGTGTGACTTCGTGCTCGGTCGGTGACAGCTGCTCCCCTGCTGCTTCGCGTCTCGTGGGAATGGCCAAGACGTGCTGCTGCAGTAACGGACTGCTGACGGCCCCTGTGGAAAGCCGGGGTGAGTGAACTTGCTCATGTTGGACGCCCACCCCGCAACTTCAACTCAGGGTTCTACTCCCGATATTTCCTGGTTCCGATAAAGACAGCAGGAGCCAGACCGATTCTTGATCTGTCGGCATTCAACTGCTCAAAAGCGGTAAACCACTTCTGCATGCTTACAATCAAATAGATCTTGGATTATGTGCGCCCAGGTGATTGGTTCATATCCATAAACCTGAGGGATGTCTTCTTCGATGTTCCGATAGGAACTTAGAACTCTTGTCATCAACGACGTTGCGTTTGATGTCCCAGCTAAAATATCAATAAGTAACACGATGATAATAAAACATGAACAAACATTTAAAATAAGTAAAAACAAGATTAAAATGATGAAATCAGACCTTGATCCCACTACTCAAACCTGTACACTGAATCAGGGGGGTGGGTGGATTTTACAGCTGTAGGGAAGAAGCTGTATCCCAGTCTAGTGGTGCGTATCTTTATGTGTCTGTACCGCTTCCCAGAGGGGAGCGGATTGAGCAGTTAGTTACCCGGATGGGTCGGGTCCATGGCAATGCCTCTGGCCCTCATCTGAAGCCAGCCAGCCTATCCTGAGTCCAGGTCAGACAAAGGACCGCCCACAATCCCCTGCACTGTTCTCACCACCGGGGCCAGGTCCTTTCTGTCCTTTGATGTGCAGAGTTCAGCCCTCTTCAGTTTCCTGAAGCCTACGTTGGGCTTTCTTCACCAGGTAGGAGGTGTTCAGGGTCCAGGTCAGATTAGATGTACTCCTAAGAATCTGATGTTGTCCATCTGCTCCACCACCTCACCATGCATGAGGAGAGAGGTGTGTTCCGTCTCCCTGACCATCCTGTAGTCCACGTTA